GTGGAAACTAGCTTAGCAGTAATTGCTTAATTATCTGTCACTTTAGACCGAGAGCAGTTCATCCTTTCCGGCAAAGCCCGTCGCGTGAGTAAGAAACAAATCAGTGAAAAGAAAATTGATGTTGGCGCCCTAAAAATTTTTTTTTTACTGCCGTTTGGTTTTTTTTTTCTTTTTTTTTTTTAGTTTTGCGACGGACTTCGCCAAGTAGGAGGGACTGATGTTAGTCTATTGTCACTGTGTTTAAACAGCTGAAGAAATTATACGACCTCGCACAGTTTGAATAAAATCTGAAAAAGCTGATTTAACGAACATGATTGAGATGTCGAACTAACTGCCAACTGCCCTGAAATAAATTTTGTTCATCATTCAATTATGTTTGGTCTCGCTTCCTACAATTTGCTGTACTTACTCGACAGAAAACCTTGGCACTCATATAACGTTTCTATTTGTCGATGTGATGGGAGTTTTTGCGGAGCGGTGCGGATGTAAAACAAAACTTGATTAATAATGTTTGTGAACTTCTGACGTTCCTCTTCAAAACGATGGGATAAGTAAGAGAAAACTTGGTAGTGAATTAACGACCTGCCAACTCAAGTAACGAGCACAACCGTAAACTCGTGGTGTGGAGAGTTTTACACAGAAAAGCGTCCGTCTGAACAAAAACGAAGCAAATCTCCCCTTGTTTACAGTTGCATTTTGTTTTTTTTTTCACCTTTCCTCACTAATGGGTTTTTCAACCTATACTGTCTAATATGTTTTCAAATATTGTCCACACGTTATTCGCCAAAACGCTAATGAAATCGACAGCATGAAATGCTTTTTTGACACTGTTTTTTAAAGCCCCCGTCCACTTTCACCTGTCAACCCTTAAAAAAGATTGCTATCAAAACGCTGTGTTCAGTCCTAAAACTGATAAAGATTCCTCCTTTGAAACCTTTTTCCAAAGTCTCACTGGTGTTCTCGGGAATTTAGCAGTGAGTGTATGATATGCAAAATTGCATTTTAAATCACTTGTTTTTGAATGAAAACAAGTCAGTGTGAGTGATGCCTAATTAGAACTGTGCATAGACCGCGTAATGCTAGGCGCTCAAAGGAGGGTGGCGCCGTTTTGTGTTAAGAAATATATTTTTCTTCGAAATATAGGGTGTATTCTGATCCGGCCCTCTTTCGGGAAGCGCTATACAGCGATGGGGTTTCCTTCGGCTTAATTTCCAACCAAATGTCATAATACGTTTCTGAAGGTCAATAAATGTATTTAGCACTGAGTCATATTGGCACCCGAACCCTTCCCCCCCCCCCCCCCCCCCCCCAGTCGCCTCACTAGATACCGGTTCCTCCTCAGCCATTTTAACCAGAGTCGGAACACAGGCTTCTCTTTTTCCCAGGATGTTTGAGGCATCCTTTCAGAATTTTCCTCAGAATTATGACATTACCGTGTTCATTATCCTGAGATGAAATTTTGCGAGGCAAAAGTTGCGAGAAAGGTTTGAGACTAAAATCAATGTCCGTGGTTACTATGTGAATTTCCTTTGTTATAATACACAATTCGTCTGATCGGTACAATGAACACGGAGGCGAATGATCCCTTCCCGCTCGTCGCAATTTTATTTTAAATATTCATTATAAGGCCCGTGCAATGTCTGATTTGAATTTCAAATACTACACTATCTACACTCATTTTATTGCTATTCATTTGAGTGTTTGAGTTTCGTCCGGATCTTTTAACTTGAGGTTCAAAAATTTCGCTCTGTTCCTTTAATCCGTTTAATAAACGTTGCCAGGAATGTCTTCAGGCGACACTCCGAACTTCTCTTACGTTTGAAGTTAAAATGTTGCCGATGATGTTTTGCGTTTCGGTTCGGAAGTATTTGTTGCTCCTCAGACGCGAGTTACAGCCGGCAAGTTATGAGAGACAAGTGGTGAGGTGACGGAAGTTTTGTCTACTTTTAAACTAATTTTGAGGGCTCTATTGTATGTCGTGTTTTAAGAATCACCGTTGATATATCAGCTCGAGATAGGTGTTTCCAACATAGCATAAAGTTATTGCTTAAGGGTTATGGCGACCTGTGATATTGCGAAAAGCCAACTTCGACTTTCATGGACGAATTTTGTATCAATGTATCAATGATAGAGATTTAAGAAGGCGATAGATTTCCTTTTACACTGGAAAACTTACAAAACATGATCATTCTTGATATGGAAGCTATTTTCAAGAGCAAGAGATTTTCTGAAAACCCTAATTACCTTATTCTAACTGGAAGAATTCTGTAACAGAATCCATTGTATTCTCGAAATTAGTCAACAGGAACCCTAATCGTTTCAGTTTTAAAATCTTAGTTGAAATTACGTTTAAATGTGGCGCGGTTTGGGCGAGCGTGTAATGTCCTCGACCTAGACATAATAAAAATACACTTAAAAAAAAGCCCATTGTGAAAATCAGTGTACGCGGATTTCAAAACTGCAATGATAATTATACGACGATAATAATCATGACTGTAATAATAATAATAATAATAATAATAATAATAATAATGATTAAAACAATACTAGATTTAATGAAATGAATCAAAAGAAAGAATAACCTCCATGTCATTATTCAAAAGCTTAGAACTTTTTGTAAAGATTCGAGAAGATTTCAAATAATTATAATCAGCAATCATTCTTTTCTGTTTAAGAGGTTTCGAAGAGCTACTGGAATTTCAGCTAAAGCAGCCAACAGATCAGAAAATAAATGTTCTTCAAGTGGAAGAATCATATATATAAATAAATAATCAAAATTGTTTATTAACTACAATCTCTGCGTTATATCAACAGGAAAAGAATTGGGGAAAGCTATACAGGCCGCATGGCTGGCAGTGGTCCAGGATACCCTGCCGAAAACAACATAACCACCTTCATGCACATCCTCATCTTTCATGTCCCGAGAGCATGGATCAGCCATTCCTTAAAGGAAAAATAATTTTGATTCACGCCCCAGAAAGAATCCTCATGTATTTGAAGGGATTTCTTCTCCAATAAACTCATGGGTAACCCCGTCCTTCTTAAAAAAAAATATATATATATATTAATTTCTATCGACTTCACAGCGGATTATGCCTGGAGAAGCGGTGGCCAATTTACTTTAACAATTCAGTTGTTAAAACCAATTATCTTGTCATGCTTGGAGAAGGTCTGCTCTTGGCCAAAGGATTCTTTTCAACTGTTATTGTTTTTACTGGCGGCTCTCCTTTATCACAGGAAATTGTCTCTGCATGTCTCATCAGGCGTACATCATGTGCAGCAACAACGATGACAATGGACCATTGACAAGACCAAAATAACAAAGGTATTGATTTTGGTACAGTATTCCCAATCCGTTTAATGCTAATCCCTTATTGAGTCAGATCTTTTCCCCACTATTTTTTCTTTCTTTGAGTGAAAGTGCCAACCAAAGTGCTACCTTTTCGGCCAATGATCATATGAAAAGTTGAAAGTATTTCAATCTGGGTCTCGATTAAGGTTGTCCGGCTTGGAGGGCTGAACTAGCGTGACTATTTTTCTCATGTAAAAAACTTGCAAGCACATGCCGGTAAAAGACTTACCTACTGCGTTGATTAGATTTAAAAGTAACGCGGCGTCGTTAAAGAGGTATTTAAGTGAAAGTTCATATTCGTAATCGTCAGTTTCTCTAATGTTTCGATTTTACACGGCTGTCCTAATAAACGCATCTATTATTCTGTGCGTGTAAACTCCTGAAATGCCACAACGAAGCAGACATGTTGTAAACGACAAGAAAGCGTTTCGACAGTACACCACAAACGTGCATCGGCATGGCAAATAACGCTTTCTAATGTGCCCACCAAATTTGCACAACCAATTTATGAACTATGAATGATGCATGTTGAGAAGCTTTTCACAATTCAAAATAAATTGTTTTGACATTGTCAAGATGATAATGACAATAATAATGGTAATAATCTTGGATGTTAATGATTATAATACAAAAAGAGAAAATTGTTAAGTTTCTATTGCATTATTGGCTTTGAAATGATATCTGAATCAGCGAAGACGCCGTTCCGCGAAAGATGAAACCTGGGGACAGCTGAGAGGGAAGTCTGAACAGAAAGGATGTCTAAATACGCGTAGCTCACGTAGTCTTTAAAACATCAAACGATTTTTTTATCGGTCTTACGTCAGGCTTTTCATAGCCATGTTCTCCTTCGCAGGACGCAGAGGAAGTTGACTGAACAGGCAGCTGTCAGCCGAGAGAAACGCAACAGCTGGTTTTTCGCTTTTTGAAATTTGTTGGGCAAAAGCTCATGCAGCGATCACAAATACCTTCTTGGGTATCATTTCTTAAATTTTGGCCAAATACAGAATAAACTTTAAAATGTAAACCATTGCCAAGATTCGCAAATATTTTTGTGACTTTGCGATGCAGTTTAAGGGAGGTATTGTGTCAAAATTTTAAAGTCCGGTTTCAGATAACGAAATTGAAATAGTGAACGGAGCATTTGTTCTTCTCTTTCTTTGTTTTGCCGGGAAGGTCGACTTTGATCACGTACAGCTTTGATTCAGAGGTAACCCACATTAACTCACTACAAAATGATTGCGACGTGCGTTTCTGGTAGCCATTATTTTTACCTAAAACTAAATAAATACCGGTAAGTCTGGCTTAAAGAATGTAAACGGTGGGTCTAGTGTCGAGGGCCCGATTTTTTTATGCTCGAAGGAGGACTCAACTAAAGCGGAACTGATTTATTAAAACCGTTATTCCTGACCATCAAGCCAAGAACAGCCAAAGGGGAACCAAGGACGACGACGAGAAAGATTTCGTTTTTAACGCACTAGTGAGATTAAATTTCAGTCACCGAATTGAAGTTAGGGGTTAAATGAGTGTACTTAGATTTCATTTTTACGTGGTTTATTTTTACTTATAAATAAACAGGAAGATGATTTGAGTGAGGGTTTTCTTCCGTGACTGGCGAGTCAGCGAATCTGTCAACACCTTTGCTCATTGTTCCTTGAACACTTCAGCTATTTGCTGAGGGAAGCACTCTCATTCTGCAAAAAGTTTGATTTAACATGACGAACGTTTTGACCGTGGCGTTGCGATTTTCAATATTTTTGCTTATCATAGGATGTACTGAAGCTAAGAGGTAATATACATTGTTTTAATTTTATCGATATTTATGCTAAGGTGCATACAAATCCGACGAGTGTCGTAACCTTTCTCGAATGCAAATGATGTTGTCAAAATGCAGCTCTTTCGTTGTTTGTGAATATTATCCTTCAAGAGGGAAGGCTCTGTAATTCACTTACATTTGACGCACTTTTCCCCCCCTTTGTACAGATTTTCAGTTTGTTGGCAGGAAAGTTTCAGGGGCGGGCTTGGCAAAGCATATATTATTTCGACTTTAGCGACTCGTGAGCTCAACAGACTTTCGGTGCCTCAGAGAGGCTGTGCTGTTGCGTTGGAGGGGGTTTTACAAAATTATTTCGTTTTATCAAGTGAATAAATAGCGTAAAGAGTTTCAAAAGCTGACGTTCGATCGTTAGCCCTTCGTCAGAGTTGTCCTCGATTCGGTCCTCTGAAACAGAGTGGAATTTGACCCCTACATAGTCCGATCAATAAATTTCGTCACTCGTATTGGAATCTTTTTAGCACGTGTACACTGGTCATTATGGCAGCGAGAAAATTTCCAATTGTAGCTCCTTGCCATGTTAATATGCGAAGAATATTCGAAGAAATTTAAGGTTTCAATTTCACGTTTTTACTTCCGGACAAGTATGCAAGTGCAAATTCACTTCAAAAGTGAAAGGTTCGATTTTTCCCTTTTTCCACCGGTGACACTTTCATTCAATTTTGTTCGATCGGCTTCCACTTGTTGGATCAGCTTCTCTTTTGTTTTGTTTTGTTTTTTTTTGTTCTTTCTTTTGTTCTTTCAATGAAGTTTTCTTAAATTAATATTCGTGCTTTACCATATGGAAGGTATGGGATAAAATCCACCACAGTACTAGCGTAATTAAGGAAGAGGAATTCAAAGTTTCCGCCCTCCTCTCCATATTAGGGACTGGAACCGATCCTTCTCTAGGAAATAGATAGTGGTAGCAGCGAAATTAACGTTTTAGATATTCTGCCGTGTGACAACGGAATTAGCCAGCTATAAGAGTGACTAAAGAAGACTAAAAGGTACAAGTTCGCACTGCCAAAGGCATGGAGCTAAGAACTGGTAGCAATTTAATCATTTTCGACGAAATGTTACCTAGTATAAACATACATGTCATCGAATTCTGTGACGCCGAAGGATGATTTTTTAAGGATTTATTTTTACTTCGGCTAGGCGAGGCCTGGAATTAAAACTGTAAGGCGACTTACCGGGAAGAATCTCTTCCTTACTCTAACCTGTCCGGCTTGCAAGCCGTATTGAGTGTTAATTGGAATATCTTAATCACGTTAAGTAGCTTAAAAATTCTTACATCTGCTTGTAGCCAACAAAACATTTTATTTCTCAAACTTGTCATCGTTATCATTGCAGGTTTGCCATAATCGCTCCCAATGTGTTTCACGTTGGGGTCGAGGAGAACGTTTCAGTTGCGGTTTACGATGCCATGCAGCCCGTAACAGTGAAGTTATATCTGCAGGACTATCCATTCAGGCGGAAAACATTCTCCCCAAACCAAGTTACACTACAACCAGGAAAAGGTAAGACGAAAGCATTACATACTTTTTTTTTTATCCGAATCGCTGCTGGGATTTGAAAGTGCTATAAGAATCGGCCTTCAAAACCTGGTGAGGTGGAAGCAAAGATTTCGCGAGAGTCTTAAAAGAGGAACCACATTTTCTAGGAAAATGAAATTCCAAGTCGACTTTTCATCTGATGGATGACCGAGTCTAATCATTTTGCAGCATCATCACGTCAAGATAGATATTTAGAAGATTTGGGGCTCAAAGCCACTTCAATTAATGGCTTTGCTATAGGAAAGCTGAAGAATTAACCTGAAATATAAAAGGCCTGTTTGATTTTTGTTTTTTCTCTTAGGGAGCACCTCTCTCCTCACAGTCAAGGTAAGAGTTCATTAGCATTTCAGAAGACGCGCTAGAATCTTTTAACGATGTACAGTGTTTGGTAAAGTGATGGCGCGTAATCAGGAAAGCTATAACATAGGTCATCACGGGCCCTAAGCTATCATTTTAAAAAAATATGGACATTACAAGCAATAATAACAGCATCAGTTATGGAATAAACGGTTTGAAAATACAAGAAGTTTATTAGTACTTTGAATATTGTTTTAATTTGAAAGGTGTTCTGTCATATGCATATTTAAACAAGTGAAGGATTTTTTATTTTTTGGAATTTTTTTAAAATATCGTTCTGTTGGATATTACCCCAATTACCCGAAGTTCCTGTGAACTAAGTTTTACACAAATTTGATCGAAAAAATTATCAGCAACAAAGTGTGCATTAGTGACCCTTCTAAGTATGGTCTCTGTCCAAAAGGGCTTCCCTTTATTGATCAGACTTGCGAAGAAGATCTTTGTATTATTTACTCGTAACTTTACACGTAACTGGTCCTTCTCGTATCTCAAGGTGGAACCGGGGAACCTTCCAGATATCAAGTCGGTAGATATGCGGTATGTTTACCTCATCGCCAAGTCAGATGACGGCCATTTTCAGTTCCACAAAGAGGTAAAGATCCTGCTCAGCTTCAAGAATGGAATGGTGTTCATACAGACGGACAAACCTATTTACACACCAAAACAGAAAGGTAAGATCTATGTCACCATCGCGATGAACTTACGTTGATCTAATTGCACAATCTTTGTTACCGAACCTTTATTGTTAAGCGATTTATGAGATTTTCGTTAATTTTGAAGGGGCCTTGTGCGGACACAGAGACACATAACCCCTTGCACCCTTATATCAGCTTTCATATTCTCTGCACTGTTCTCTTTACATCTCCTATGTTGCTGACAGAGAGAATTTGTTTGACATTCAGGAGCTTCTTAAATCATTGATCGTTTCCTTCATTATCACGACCTTTACATTTGGTTCAAGGGTGATACTGTAAGGACAAAGTAGAAGCCAGACATTCTTAGGGGTGAAAGGATTACGAAAATTCTGAAACTCCATCTGCCTCCCCATTTACCACACAGGGGTATACCTTCGGTTCCTCTGTGAGAATCAAACATTTGAGTGAAAGAACAGATTCCTTTGTCACAAAAACTTAATCGAACTGAAAATATCTGTGAAAATATCTTTTTTTTTCATGGATACAATGATTTCTCTTCGACCAAAGCAGAGAACTAAATTCGAATTGATTTTAAACGTAGTGTGAAGGACAAAAATTTCGTTCCGGCGTGCCATTAGCAGAGCAAACCAAAATGTTTCACTTGAATGAGGAATGAATGAACACAGCTCTGACGATAAGTAATGTTGCGTAAATTATTGGCATAATTTTCTTTCTTTAAATAGAAATTTGACTTTAAAATATGAAAGTCTATCGAGAATCTTAATGTTACTAAGGTCTTTTGTTTTTTATCGTCCCCTTGTGAAAATAAATTTCTCTGCTAGATGCTACAAGTCATCTTGTAGCGTCTGTAGTCAGAGAAAATCTTTGCACATCTAAATGACCAAATTACAGCGGAGTAAATGCTCTGAGTGATTATTTATTCAGTTGATACATGTCAGGAAGCTCATTTTCTCGCACAAATCAGCTGTTGTCTGAGCTCAGTCGTTCGTTGTCAGATACTACGCTACTCGGCAATAGAGATAGGACGCGTCAATTTTCATTTAACAGCTTTCAGTTATAGTCTAAATTCCCTTTATTGATTGATGTTGCAATTGGCTCTTTTTCCTTCCTGCAGTTCGTATCAGGGTGTTACCGCTCCAGTTTAACATGATGCCCTCCGGAAAAAATGTAAGAGCTTAGCAAAACGACGTCTTGAAAATAACATTTTATTTTGACTGCATTGGTTTTGTTAGAAAAATAATCGCGGCCGAACCAGGTCAACCTGGTTAAATATTGCCGATTTATAAATGAATAATTGACTAATAAATAAAGAAAGTGCTTTTAAATGTAGCCGCAAATTCGAAAAAATGTAATGTTAAACTTGAAAACATTACATATAATTGTCTGCCTGCAGATATCTGGTATTCCAAAATATCAGCTATGAATTACTTTGATTGTTAATTATTTCCCTACCTTAGTTCTGATATGGCCAATACACTCTTGCCATAGATATCAATTTGTAATTATGGCCACTAAATTGCAAACATCTTTTCCACCGTACTATTACAATCCGAGCCTCAAATCTTTGATGGGAATTCATTTTTAACTAATTGTTGCCTTTTTTCTTTCGCAACAGATAACTTTGATGGTCGTGGTAAGCTTACTACAGTATTCCATACATACATACAATAATTCTCCATCAGTCGTTTTATTTAAGAGCTCGCCACAACGTAAATGTCATCCGTAATTATATCGCATATTTTATATGCAGAATCCACAGGGAGTCAAAGTAAGGCAGTGGAAGGACCTTGAAACTAGCACAGGTTTAAAAAGACTCTTCATTTGATGAAATTATCATGTTTTTATAGTTAATTTAAAACTTAGCAACACTTACCACATGTGTCAAAATCGTTTTATTCCTTCGACTCTTTACACCCTAACATCAGTATGCATATTCTCCATTCTGTTCTCTACACATTTCCTGAGATGCTGACAAGGAAAATCCGTTTAACAATCAATCTCTAGTTGGTGATCATTTTCTTTATTCTCATGACCTTAATGTTTGATTCAGGTGTGAAATTATATGAAGAAACTATTTGCTATAGTCACTCATAGGGTTTAAAGTGTTAACAATCTGGGCATAGAGCCCTTAAACGTGTCCCGGTTCGAGCCAGGATTTCAAGAGGTATAACTGAAGAGAAGCTGCTGGAAAGCTGTATATTTTAGCGGTGAACACTCGTATGAGAGACGAGAGGATAATTGACAAAATTGCCCCCGATTAAGTCATTTTTTTAAAATTTGAATTTAGCAAGAAACCTAACTCTAATGTCCATTGTACATTTTTTTTTTTTTAAGGTATTATATCAAAAGAACTTTTATTAAGCAATTTCATCATCTTGGGTAACTGGACAGTAACAGCTACATACGGTCATCAGGTAGGCTTGCCCGCACAATATTTTTTTCAGATCACACTGAATCACATGCTAACAAAGAGATGTAGATTTAAGGATAGAGGTTTCACACCCTGAGATTGAAAGGGACAATTTAGATGAAATGACTAGAGTGTATTAAACAGCTTGAGCATAATCGATCAATCGAAAGAAAAAAGGGGAAGTTTCAATGTGAGAAAGATAAGATAGATAAATCTTAGCGATTAAGCAAATGGAACCTAAAGCACATGTCTTGTATTAGTTTTAATACGTGTATGACACCATAAACATTTCGTACGTCATTTTCGCATATTCGTGGAGAAATTTCGATGTTCAACTGGATTTTCAAGTTTTAGGGATGACTATTTCCAAGTTTTCAGTTAACGAACGCCAATTTCCACCGTTCTGTGTAAAGAAAATTGTAGACTCTTGAATGTGATAATTATTTTAAAAAAAAAGTCCTTTATAAAGATAAAGATCAGATTAAAATTTCATAAACATTCAAAGGTTCTTGAAAGTACATATTCAAAAGGAAAAAATACCATTAAAATTTGAAAACATAAATGTGAGAGTCAATTCCACACACTTTTTTCTTTCTTTACAGAATATTTACAACACATCTGTGCAATTCGAAGTTAAAGAATACGGTAAGTTTATGATTTCATTCTTCTGGGTTCTCTTTGATGACGTTGAATTTTTAAGGATTCTTTGATGACGTTTCAGTTCTTCCCAAGTTCTCCGTGAAACTCCAGGTGCCGCCTTACATACTGAAAACAGACAAAGACGTAGAGGTCCAGCTAAAGGCCAGGTATTGTTGACTACTCAATGATTTATAATTCGAACATGAACAACCTTTCATGGCTCAAAATGAAAATGGATATCAGAGAGTGAATAACCGACAAAGCGGGCAACACTTATTGGGACTATTGATCTCACATAAAAAAAAAAAACAAACAAACAAAAAAACAGATGAACCATCTTTTTGGAAAATTCCTTTCTCCACTTTTGTGCTGATTTTGTGTTGGTATTTTCAAATTCAGTCATGCATGCATTTTTCGACTGGTCAACTACTTAAACAAATCAAAAAGGTCACATGAAACTTGTATTGCTTTGGGGAAAGGATGAATGATAAGAATAATGAAAATCGAACGCATCCAGGAAAATGATACAGGCGTGCACGAATTTGGAAAATACTCACGTTAAATACCTTCTAGTAGGTACATCCTTTCTGAGACAAGCAATCCAATGCTTTAGGTTTCACCTTAAATAAAAATTGGTGAACGTTTCGCAAACGATTTTTTATATGGAGCCGTGGAAAGGAAGCCATCAGTAAGGGAGAGCTTTTTCCTTTCCTTTATGCAAATTGCATTCCCCGCAGTAAAGCGAGAGCTTACGATTGAAAAACGTTAACTAGCCATGTTGCTGGACGTTATGTGCCTCGAAACATCGTTCTCACCTTAATGATTCTGTTAACGCAGTTTGAGGAAAACGTTCAAAGAACCAAAACCAAAATAAATCCCAACGACAACAAAGGTTTACATTATCATAAGAAGTTGAGGACGAGATTTAAAAAAGAGGCCTAAAAAAGGCACTACCTAGCAGCCCCATTGCACCATAGGTTCGACTTCGGATTATGATTGGTTGATACCCATAAATCATGGCTTCATCAGTTATAGTCACAAATTGTGGGGTCAGTGACTTGCTACACACTGATTTTTAAGGGGGTGAGGGTTGCTTTTGGAATTATCATTATGTATAAGTTCAGGAACGTTTTTAGCAATATCTCCAGAACTGCTCGACCAAATATATATCTTTTTTTTTCTTCTCTTTGGGAGAGGGGGAGGTGGGAGTGGAATAACTTTTGCAGTTACTTAATGTGGTGTAAATGGGGTGTGTTAAACCGTTACCATAGCCATGGTTACTAAGGAAACCAAATATGCTTTCATATCGATTTGCAGTAAAAGAGGACGATCATAATCTTTCGGGTCAATTGTTGATGTCTTTTGTTTCTAATTTTCTATATATATATATATATGTTAAAAGAAATAACGGCAGATGCTGTTAACTCGAAAAATTCAAAGCCCATGCGACAAAATGTTTAAAAGAGACACGTGAGAAATACTATATTCCTATTTGAGGTTGGTGACGATTTTGGAGTCTATTTATTAACCAGATACCAATTTGCTGAGGTACATCTTAGATACATCACAAGATAGTCAGTTGAGCGCATGAAATTATCGATATCGTATTTAAATCCATCTGTTGTTATACCAGCCTCACACACAGGAGTGTAAAGAAAGCTCATCAAACCCTCAGCAGATCGAACAATTTCTAGTTACTTGTTCTCATAGGTCCTGTAAATGCAAGTAGACATGGTTGTTATTCGTAAGAAATTCCAAGCCTTTCTTTTTCCTGTCTGGCTAAAGCCACTTGTAACGTCAAACCCTGTAAAGGCGTGAAATGCTGGTAGAAGCTTACAGAGTTCTTGTTCGAGCTTTTCTACTCGACAATTATTGTATTAGGAGATAGCGGAACATGTCCTTTGCCCCAGTGCGGAACCATAGCTGGCCTCATCTTAAATAATGACATGTAGAGGTTCAAAGGAAAGCTACATCAGTATCAGGTGACTGAATTAGAATGTAGCCATGCAGCATGGAGAAACATTCTTATGTGTGTCGCCTCATTATGCAACTTCTCTGGCACATGGTAGAAAGGATGTTCTTCATTTCACGCCACTGATGCTACTTCCTTCCAATTTCCAAAGTATCCTGCTGGAAGCACCTTCCTTGCAATCCCTTACCAAGTGCTACCTACAACAATTTTCAGTTTGGTCTTGTTTTCTAAATTTGAGATAAAACTGTTCCATTTTTTGGGGGACTGGCGTGAATAAACTTGACATTCTCACTTGTTAACTAGTGGATGACGCTCCTCTGACTTGTTCGCCCAACTTAATGGAGTTCTCCTTGTCATAGTAATCACACACGATATCCACACAATTGCCGCCATTCTTTTATGACCTCGAAGTACTTATTTGCGAGCACTCCAAAAGTAACTGAACCCACATCCCTCCTCATCTACACAATTGCTATACCATCTATGATAAACGCAGTTGATAGTTCAGCAATATCATGTACATGAAGTCTTGAAGGCACCTCATAGCATGCTCCGTGTTGTCTTTCCCGATCAATGATTTCATATCCTCCGCCCGCAGGTTTTCAGAATTGAGAAGACCCAAATCGTCTGACTGTCATGTAGGTCCACACTTGATGAATGATGAACATTGGGCACCTATAAACCAATAACCTTCATGCGATCGAGAACTCTAATCACTGACTCCCCGATCGACCGACCAATTCCTTGACATCAGGAGCTTTTATCAGAGCTCGTTGACTCCCCGGCCGATCGACCACCAAATTCTTTGGGATCGGCAGTTCTTACCAGAGCTAACATCTCCCATTTATTCTTTTCGGCAATTTTGATAACAATTCATAAAATCACTTCTTTTTCTTGATTTTCTCAGAATCCTCATAAAATATTGCCATGGTAACGGTTAATTAACCAACCGACATTGTCCCGCATTAAGAAGCTTCCAAAGTTGCATAATCCCTTCAGACTTTAATTTATTTTGTCAAATAGTTCCCAATGTAGTGATAAAACGTTCTTGAACACGTAGAGATTGATTCTTCCAAAAGCACTTCAACGCCACCAATAGCACTGAAGTCACTGACCTCATGATTTGTGACTACGACCAACATAGCGATGACCTCTGGGTATCAGGCCATTATAATCCGATGTCAAACCTTTTGTCTAGTTAGGTTGCTACGAGGTCGATTTTTCCTGGCTTCTTCTCCTCGACTGTAGTCCAAAGGAAAACCAGCAGACTACTTAACCCTTTAACTCCCAGAAGTGATCAACATGAAACTTCTCCCCATAATATTCTTACTTTATCCAGCAGACTGGTAATGAGAATATTCAAACTATCTTGATCTAACACCAAGTTCTCTAACTAATTTATAAGGAGATGTGTAGCAGGTGGTGGGGAGAATTTACAATCGGATCCTGTGAGTTAAAGGATAAGGCGCGGGTAAACGCAAATGACCAAGTCGCGATTGTTTTTAGTTTTAAATCCGATTTGTTCAGAGGATGACTTAAGTTTCCTGGAACAATCGTAAAGTTAAGCAAAATAAAAGCAATCCCGGCTTACTTTCGACACTTCATTGAATTGCTGTGTAGAAGTTACCCTCGGTAGCAAAGTAATTTAAGAGAGCGAAAAGTTCAGCTGAGCTGAGAGGTTGAGACATACTTAGAGTCTGCCAATATATATATGACGTAGTACTTGACATATCACAGCACACATATGTTGTTTCACCTATGCATTTTTCCTCCCAAAGTTACACTTATGGAAAGCCGGTTGTCGGGTCTGCGAATGTCTATTTGAGCATTGCTTTGAAAGGAAAGGTTATTCCGATTGCTACTCAGCTAGTATTGGTAAGTGATTTCATTTCATTTTATACTTATGTAGAGAGGTTCTCTGGTGAAAACTGATCGTAAAAGAGTTGTTCAGGGATTATGAAATTGCATGGGTTCGTTAAATTTAGTCAAATTCTGAACTTTGTATTGAAAGAAAAGTATGAATGCTATGCTTAAAGTCTACTACTTTTCTAAAATCTGGATCGATGTCTGTAACTTAGCAGCTGCGCAGCGACTCCTCTCCTAACCCAATAACAGTCAACTGATAACAAGTTTGAGTTAATGTTGGGTTAGGGGAGGGGTAGGTGCTCATTTTCTCAGATACTGACATTGATCGAAAAATCTAATTGCTTAGACGGAATGACTGTTTCCTTTTTTGTGTGTTGATTTATTGGAATAGCTTGACGAAAAAGGCACTGCTACAGTGGAAGAAAGGGTGAATTTTATTAAAAATGTGGCCGGAGAAATCTGGTTCCCAGAAGGTGGTAGACTTCATGTTCAAGCTGACGTCACAGAACGGGCGACCGGTGAAAAGGAGACTGCGGTGGATAAATCGTGCAAGTTTACATCAAACCCCTATCTGGTCGAGATCATAGACACTCCAAAGTACTTTAAACCTGGAATGCCTTTTACTGTGAAGGTGAAAGACACAAGATATGAATAATGACATTTCATTTTTTTTAGCTCTACTCTTAGGTATACGCATAATGTGAATCTACTGAGGGTGTATTGAAAAGTAAAGTCTTTGTAGAGCCTCTTACCCTCGCCTGTTAAGATATTGTTGACAATAGTTGTTGACCACAGTTAGGGATTTTACTTTGACCGCATTTGCCATTTAGGCTAAGTATCATTCTGGTATGAAAAACTTTCTTTGAACTGTGTTTAAGGTTGTGGTGTCGCTGAATGAAAAGCCTACCGAGTCCATATCTGTGAGATTATCCGCCACAGGGAAAAGCTTGAAAGAAGAGAAACGCTTGACCACATTAGAGGACAAAACGATTGAGAACGGCGAAGCTGAGTTTACAGTTGATGCCTGCACCGACTGCCAAACCATTAAGATAGAGGTTTGAAAAGTTGATTTCTTTTCTTCAGGGACCGATAAATAATGGTAATTGAACTGAGTGGAGTGCAGTTTGGGCTGAAATCATACGTATAATTTCAAAACCGAACGAGTGCGCAGCGTGAGTTCGATTTGAAATCACAAGTATGATTTCAGACCAAAATTGCACGACACGAGGTTCAATTATCACTTCATTACATCCATTTTGAAATCGCCCAAATACAGGACTTGGTCAGTTCAAATATTTTATTGATGCAGTACTGAGCCGGTCTGAAATTAAATTCATCCAATTTTTGGGGGGAAAAAGTAAGAGTTTGGAAACAAAAGTTGCAAAATTTGCCACATGATACTCTTTGTCTTTCATTTTCCTGAAATTTGATTGGTTACTTTAAACAAGCCTTAAAATCTGATTGGTTGTTTTGTTTTTAGTGCAGCCTCCTCATTGGCAGGGAAAAAGATGCGATTTAAAACAAAAAATGATGCGATTCGTGAATAAATCGCACCATTTAGAGCCAATCAGATTACAGGGACCACCAGTGATTTCAAAATGGGTGTAATACATTTGAAAATTTATTGAGCTAGTTAATGCATTAACAAATGTAAAATTTATTGCGTATTGCTTTTCGACCGCGTAGTAATACTGATAATAACCCTCTTAAAAAACCCTTTTATCTGATTTTCTGTTTAAAAATCAGAGCAGATTGTTTCAAGTCCAAAGCTTTGTTACGAATGTTTGTTTCGACGTAGGTTGAAGCCGTCAAAGAAAATATCCAGCCCGCTCTGGCTAACTTCGTGCTGCAACGATTCGACGCAGAAAATGGACCACTGATTGTAATTCGTCATCCCCCGTCAGGAAAGTTGAAGGTAGCTGTTAATCGTGACGATGGTAATCGACTCTTTAACTCCATGTAATGACCATTATTCAATTTCTCATCGTAATATCAATACGTCGCAAAGAAAAAGATGTAAAAAACACTGATCATGGAACTTGGATAATTTCACTTCAATACTTATGGCAGACGGCGAGGAGAATCGAAATGTAGGACTTAATAGTGAAAGGATAAATTAAAGGCAAACTATGAGCCGGTTGTGTATTCAATGTCCATATGATGCGAAACTTCGTTCAAAGTAAGCAAGCTCAGTTTTCACTTTCCACCCGTAATATCTGCCTCCCCTTTGAAAAAGAGAGGAGGGCAACTCGTGAACTTTTTCGTGCATTTTTTCAGTTTTTTCGTATAGTTCCATCATATTCGGGTACTATAAAAGTTCATTTCGACTGTAAGAGAACGAAATACCAATTAAAACACTTTAAAAGCCAGCCGTGCGGTCGCCATATTTTTAGTGTGATCTGTTTAGATCATTAGTTGTGCTTGAAAAAAAAATCATTATTGGCTCGGGTAGTCGACAGGATTTCGCTTTACCTTTGAGAGGACCTTGAACTTAAACTCTACGATAGAAGTTTCTGCGCTTAATGTATAGCAAGACTTGAAAGTATTCGCTGCGAGCTTTGAACAACTTGTAAACCTTATCGTTTCCGAGAGGAATCGAGAAATTTATCATAATATAGGCAACTCGTGTAGTGTTGTAAATAGCAAAGGAAACTACCTTAAATGGTTCGATGTAAACTGTCATTTAAGTGTTCCTTGGTATCTTCATGTTACTTGATTGATCAGAATAACCGTCATATTCATGGTCTGATAAATGGGACTATTGTTTGATTGGATGTGTAACAAAATGTCTGTTCTAAAATCACTTAGGTCGATGGCAAGTCTAATATTGAAACCTACCGGAAAAATGATGACAAAGCTGCCGTTTTTTCGTATGTGGTGAGTGGCTTGTTACGGTATAATGTAAACAACAGAAAGAACACTTTACTCCTTCAAACCCTTCTGATTTATGAAAACAACTTGTAATATTCTAACTAAGGAGCGACCCCTAAAGGCAATACGTTAATTGTCGTTAATAAACTTAATAAACTCATTACAGTTTGGCTCACCACTAACACAATCTCACAGGTGTCCACAAAGTTCCATGAAATGAACAATCTTTCACAGTAGCTCTCTCGGTATAGTTTTCTAAACAGTCGGACTCTCCTGACAACAGCACCTACTACTACTTCTACTACACGACTGAGTTGTTATATACCTTTACAAAGTATTCCAAAACATTCCGAAAGCTTACAGCGCATTTGTATTAGTATTAGTATTAGTACAGGATAGCAGGTAATTTAGTGTTAACAACTGGGTTGAAAACGTAAATTAGCCACCGTAAAGGGTAAAAAAGCTGACGTTTCGAGCGTTAGCCCTTCGTCAGAGCGAATTCCTCTAATCGCTCTGACGAAGGGCTAACGCTCGAAACGTCAGCTTTTTTACCCTTTACGGTGGCTAATTTACGTTTTCAACCCAGTTGTTAACACTAAATTACCTGCTATACTCTCCCACCGACGCAGCACCACAGTTTCTTTAGAAACTTACCCCTTTATTCATTAGTACAGGATAGCTACTGAGCCAATAAAATGTTTTAAAAAGTTCCATGGTATGCATGTCAGCATTACTAAGCATTCTAGGGATACATAGTAACTAATATTTACAGTAATTACAGGCTTTAATACGATTCTTTTCTTTCCTTACACCCTTTGCAGAGGTTTTGCAATATCTTTGGTTAGTTAAGTTTAGGTCATCTCGCGCCAAAAAGCCGACGTGACAGAACATAATTAGGAAAAACAGACTCACAATTCCCGTTTTCTTTAACAGGGAAACACCTTCATTTCTGAAGCTTTGAAAAGGGTCTTCAGTTAAAACACTAATGTTTTCATTCATTTCAAAAAGTTCCCTTACTAACGTTTAAATGGTTCACTTAACTAGGTGGTTTCAAGGGGAAGGATTCTTTCTCACCACACCACTGAAGTGCTTGCGGACGGCTTTAAAAGCGAAACGAAAAGCTGGTCCCTTCAAATCACTCCTGAAATGTCACCATCCGCGCGTTTGATTGTTTACTATATTCACAGCAGTGGACGAGTCGTAGCTGACAGCATTTTGCTTAAAGTTGAGGAAAAACTCCCGACAACGGTATGCCATAATAATTCAATAATGATAATTCGAGTATTTCTGTAGTGCTATTTACATAGAAATGATCAGTGGTGCTTTACAGTGATTCACCTATAAAACTATTCTACAGCTATCTAAGTATATCATGAAAAATGTAAATGAGAATTTAAAAAAAAATAAAAGAAATCAGGTTAAATAATGCTCATAAAAACTCAAATAAAATAAGATTTGTGGTCAAAAACTTTTAAAGAAAAACCTGACCAAAAAGGTAGGTATGATTATGAAATAGGAATGGGCTAATAGCATAATGAAATAGGCTAACTACTTGCAAGAAGATTGAACTGACTCACAAATACCATACTGGCACTCAACACAGCTTAGGAGAAACGTATGCAAAAGAGAATCTTTATTGGACAGTTTGCTATCGGAAAGTTCAATAAGTCAATCACATTCAAAGTTGTAGTTTAAATCAACTAATCTCATTCGAAATTGTAGTTTGAATCAACCAATCACAACCTTGGTTTCCATAACCATAGAATTTGTCTGTCTTTTAATGAAAATTTTCCTTTTCTTTCATAACTTGGCTATTTTTCCTTCGTCGGAAAATACAATTTTTATGATTAATTGGTAAGAATTCGTGTCGTCCAATTTGATCTGTAATGATACTCGTGATAAACAAATCGTACTCCCGCTGCGCGTTATCACTCGTATGATTACAGACCGAATTGTACTTCACTCAGTCCTATTACTATTACTTAGAGGAAAAGATTTAGAGGATTTCTTGAAGGTTTGGCACAAATTTCTTGTTCGTAACTGCAGAGTGAAGCTCCCCACATGTAGCTCAATTACGTATTCAAAACTCGTTGCAGTTTTGGTTCTAGAGCTTCATGGTTTAATGTTTACGGCAAGCAACCGTGTTGAACTTGACATGTATGCATGTTACTCGATTATGGAAAAGTTACTGCAACATTTGTCTCTTCCTTTTCTTGACAGGTTGAGTTTACTTATGAAGGCAAACGCGGAGGTGAAACTCAAAACAAAGTTGAGACACAACCTGCGAAAAATTATGTGATTAAACTCAAGGCTCCTAAAGGAACGCGTCTGGGAATCCTAGGGGTGGACAAGAGTGTTTATCTACTGAGAAACGAGAATAGACTCAACAAAGAGCGGGTAACTCAATCAAATCATGCTTTGGTATAGACCTTTTTTATGATGGATGAATGAATATTCTTTCATAGAAACACAAATTAGCCTGCCTGGCTCCGCTTTTAAGAGCCTGTTCCAGGCGTTCGGTAGTTGAAAGGAAGGCTATAGTAAACGATGCGATTGTAACCGCGAA